ACTTGTTGGGTCTTTCCCAAAAAGACTCATGGCTGTATTCGATCAAAAGGGTGCTTCTACTAAATATTGAGCAAAGGGTCTGAATACTTAGGACCATGTGATATTTCAGTTTTTCTTTTTTAATAAATCTGCAAAAATGTCAACAATTCTGTGTTTTTCTGTCAATATGGGGTGCTGTGTGTACATTAATGAGGAAAAAAATTAACTTAAATGATTTTAGCAAATGGCTGCAATATAACAAAGAGTGAAAAATGTAAGGGGGTCTGAATACTTTCCGTACCCACTGTATATATATATATATATATGTCAAGCTCCAAAATATGCAAAAAGGCACCATAAATGAAGTCCATACGACTTGTGCACTATATTTCAAGTCCTCTGAAGTGCCTCTGCCGTATTTCAAACATATGATGTGCATGCAGCGTTTTTCAAACTTGCTTTTGTCGACTGAATGCAAGCATAAATAAGACTTGAGAACTCCAGCAAAGGGTTTTTTGGGAGCTTGGCAGTACACATAATATTTGTTTGTTTTACAGAGGAAAGGAAATAATACAGGGAGGGGTCTGAACATGAATGTAAGTGATGACAACATTTTCACTTACAAAATGACAAAACTGTTCATTTAATGACAGGTTTTACAAGAGGATTACAGAACTCATCCCTGTATGGCATGGAAATTGGTGTCTTTAATTACAACAAACAACAAGAAATTGAAAATCTTGATGGGATTGGTGAGTAATCCCTAAGGATAAACGTCTGCCTTTCAGCTATTAAATATTAACAAAGCCATGTTCTGCCCCTGCTGGGCAGCTTTACGAGATCACGGATAGACAGGGTCACCTCTACCGTCGTATTCATACACATATGGATGCATACATGCATAGACCATAGGGACATGTGGGCTCTGTTTTTAACTATAGTAAGCTGCCTCGCTGTGTAACGTCTCTTCTTTGACAGCCCTCTAACTGAAATGAAAATTGAAATGCTCTATATAGGCAGCAACCCCATTAGTATCATCCTCAGACGGCAGGTCTTTTCATGCATATTGCACACAAAACTGGAAAGCACTTGTGAAAATCAGATCAGACAGAACTCTGACTGCTTCACAATTTCCGGGAGTCAGGGTGAGCAGGTCAGTCTGCCAGGAAATAAAATTCTGTGAACATACTTAATATAATGAGCACTTTGGTGGGAAGAACTAGTCTCTGGATTTGTGCTTAGATTTTTGAAAGATTCTCTTTCTCTGCAACGTGTTGTTTTCTGTAGACCTGTAGAACTATTTCAATGAGTTTGTTGGTCTGTAATTGTGGCATCGTTGGTTCTATTTTTCAAACTATGTGGTTGGTTACTTTATATGTCTGTCAAGCATCTTCCTTTGTGGGCAGTTCTTGGCCACAATAAGCTACAAAATGGACCCGAATGTTATTTTAATATTATTTATACTGTTATAGTATTTATTAATATATTGATTTAGCTTTTTATATTTTCATTTCAGTTTAAGTTGAAGTATTTGTGCGCTTTTGTAATTCTTTTTTTTTTAGTCAATCCGCTTTACATGTTTTCAGTTGTAACAATTTTAGTACTTCAATTTAAATTTCAAAGCTTTTTAAGATTTTCATCTAATATTTATACTTTATTTTGTTTCAGCTTCATTTTGATTAACAAAAATACAGTTTTACTTTGTTAACAATAACATTGACCCAAAAAAATTGTGAGTCTCATCACCGCTAATATTGTTGCTAAAGTAAACAAAGTAAACAATTCGATATTCTATAAGCACAAAAAACACATACAACGCACAAATATTTGGTAAGATAATTCAATTTGTAATCACTTAGCACTTTTTTCTATCTTTTCATTGATACTTTAAATAAATTATATATACTTTTGTCATATTTATTGAAAATCTGCACTTACTGTAGTTTGTTGCAATGCATCAGCAAAGGATAGAATGCTGCCTTAGATGTTGCTCTTTCTTATAAGGCAGCATAATTTAGCTGCCTACTGTTTTGGAATAGCCTTCACTTCAGGAGCACATCAGTGATGCCTTCAAATGCTGTCTATGTAGGCAGCTCACTAGGGTTTGGAACAGAGCCGAAGTCATTTGAGCAGAACTCACCTGTCCCAGAGCTTCACGTTCCTGCAGTTGTTGCTGCAACATCCTGCTGATATCAAAGCTGTGAAGATAAAAAAATACTTTTATGAAGTTTTTGTGCACAGCAGTCGGATCTGGAAGAACAAAGCCCATTCATTTTCTCTATAGGGAAATATATTTTTAATGCTAGCATGTAAATCCACAAAAGACCTTCCAAAGATTGTTAAGCAAAGATAAATTGGGTTCTGTAGAAGCCATGCTGTTACCAAGGAAAAAAATGATATCTGAATATTTTGCAATACACTGAAAATACAGTGATTTTACTCTTGTAAGCAAAATTCAGTTGAATAGTTTTACTTCTTATCTGCATTTTTGGTGCAGTTACATCATTTGTAGTTTGTCGAAAAATACTTTTATACACCTTTTTCATATTCAGTTTTCATAAGCCTACTTTTTTGCAGTGCATCAAAGGTTGTAATATCATGATTTGAGTTGGAGCTGGTTGTTTTTTCATACCCTCTTAAAAATAAAGATTCCAATGTTTTTTTGTTTTTGTTTTTTCCCAGCAATGCTATTAAAGAACCATTTGGGGTCCCAAAAGAACCTGTCAGTGAATAGTTATAAAAAATAAAATAATAAAATTTTCCTAAAGTAAAGACATTTTTAATAATCTGGGGAGCCCTTTTCCACTATAAAGAACCTTATTCATCACTGGAACGTTTCCATGGATGTTTAAGGTTCTTCATGGAACAGTAGATGCCAGAAAAGACCTTCATTTGTAGGAATGTATTAAGAAAATGAGGGACGAAAAACACTTATGGAACCAAGGCCACTGAAAAAGTGGGTGATTGCTGTTGTCCTTGAGATGAATTATAGCAGCTTATTGTCATAATACAATCCTCAACAACGGGCACAGAATGAAAAGCATTTGGATTTGGCTTTTCCACAGAGGTGTTGGTAAATTTCGTTGTGGTTTGTGCACATTAAGTTTGACACAGAGGGTGGTCTGTAGGAAATAAGAGGCTCTTGACATAATTTGTTTCCCTCACAGCGCCTGAGCAGTTATTTTCTCTTTTTAAGGTTTAGTTGCACGCTGGAGACCACAGGCAAACCCTCTTGTTTACCTGCTTTACCGAGTCTGGCGACAACATTTTCTCCTGCATGTCTGCCCAGACTAAACCAACTGTGAACCTGTCTGCTTTTCCCATATGCAAACACACACAAACACACACACACACAAGCAGACATAGCGCCAGTCCTTTGGGCTGAGAAACCTCACTCTGTGGAGGGTGTATTTACCAGAGTAAGAGCATACGGTTAAATACAATTCACAGTGTCACTTCTACATTCTCAGACTGCTCTTATGAGTAGCTACAAACTGACATGCAACATACCAGTGCACCTTTCGTTGGCAGGCTAATCAGAGGTTAGCCAGTTTTCCTGTACGCTGACTGTTCAAAGTCATTCGATATTCATTCAGATAGAGTGATGGCACATCCATTCTTTCTGAGCTCGCCTCCATTAAGCTGACATCAATAGTGTTTCAGTCACCACTTCTGTTTTTTCATCTCATCTCGTTATCATATTTGCTTCAGGCGTGCATGCGCAGTCGGCCATTAAAGATTCATGCCAGTCTGTGGACTTCTAAGAAACACTTCTAGAAAACACTAAGAAAAACATTCACAACGTGAAAGGAGATAAAGCGCAGGAACAACCGGGAACGCAAACCAAAACTGATGTCCTGGAGAGAGATAGGCCCTCTGCTTTGATCAAACAGCAGATAATAAGAACGGCAAAGAGGTTTAGGACTCTGCTCCACAAATGGATGATCACGGATAAGGATCCAATCAATATTTGGCGATGAAACAAATCAAAAGCAAGGATTCCCAGTATCATGCAATCGAGACTGAGATTAGCGTCCATTGAAGCACAATGTTCTCAAATCATACTAGTGGATAACATGATCATCAGGCTTTGCTGTCATTCATTTTGGCATGGAATAAAAATTCATCCTATCTGCTTTTTAAATGCATGTTAGAGAACATATTGTGATTATGATTCACCCATGCATATGGTTCATTTTTTTTATTCGTTTTTAGCCTCATAATTATCAATCTAAATGTCATAACTGAGCCTTCCAATGAAAACAACAGAGACTTTTGACATATGTGACATATGCAGGACTCCTCCAGTCATTTAGTACACTTATGACACTATTGCACAGTATACAACAAATCATGATCGATGTTGATTGAACAATCATACAACAGATGGGAGAAAAGATCTGTTGCTACTTCCTTTTTATTTTGACTTTAAAGCAAAAAGGGCTAAAATTCATAGAATTTTTTCCATTCAATTTTTTAAGTTTGAGAAGAAGAGAGCTAAACTGACCAAAGATATACAATTTGGTGCATTTGCTGATATTTCTATAACCAAAAAATAAGATTATTCTGACAGCTTGTAATGTAAATCAATGTCATGCATATAAATATCAGTTGTCACTCTATATCTGCCAATAATGTCTTATCACGATGATATTTAAATGCTTAGTTTTATTATCAAAGCTCTGTAGTTTTTATTGTGAAGGTCAAAACATACAATACAATGAAGACTGAGATGAACAAATAAACTTTAATCAAATGTCTGATATATAATACTTAATTCTTAAATTTGACCGTGATTTTTCTAAAAAAAAAACTGATGTATATATAGTGTTCGTGTTGAATATTACTAACAGCAAAAACACATGTACTATGACTTGAAAGTGAACATTTTTATAATTATACTAAAAGGCCTTTTACTTGCTAAAAAAAAAACAGTGAACCATATAAAAAATATTTTGGGGTTATTGAATTCTTAGATCATTTATGTGAAACATGGCAGGAGATCCAAATATCTTGATATCTTGTTCCATTAACATTAACAATCATTATATTAGGCTTTACATTATAATAATGCCCTAAGCATGCATTTAGCTCTTTAGCTCTTGAGCTGAAATTGCATTGTGTGGGCTTTTATAATGTCACTGCGCTTCTTGGCTGGTAGCTTATAATGTTCAATTTGCCCTGAGAGCTCATGGGCTGATATTTATGCCATGTGGGGCGACTCAGTTCTTTCAGATAGAGTCTATCCTGAGAGAGGCGGCGCTGAGGTCAAGATGTGTGATTTCATATTTGTACAAATTCAAAACTTCTGTCAAGATGAATATCTTTTTCACATTCTCCCATCTCTATAACAGACACACACACACATACACATACACACACAAACACACCGCCACCACAGATGCAGACAGACTTACACATTTCCATCATCGTAAAACAGGGATTATGGGAGAATGTCCTATATTTTTAGAGATCATGGGAGCGCTTAAGCGGGGGATCACAAAATTCACTTTTCGCTGAGAAGAGCAGGCATCATAAGGTCAATCTTCACACATTTTTGTAACAAATTATTGTTTTGCTCACCACTGTGGACATTTGCCTGCAACCTATTTGTAGCGTAATTTCATTATCCGAAGGCATAATTCCAAGTAGTTTCATAAATACTTGCCCATAAAAACACAGATGTTGTCTTACTTAGTTAATCACACATCTGCACTGCTAATGATCATAATTGTAGATTCTGCATGCAAAACACAGTTTAGCCCTGCTCCAAACATCAGCCTTGGGCTTTGTTCACACTGCAGAGGAAATATGTCATATGTAACCAGATCAGATTTTTTCAGAGTCACTTTTGCACCATTCTTGAGACTTTAGCGATAGATGTAGCAAAAATGCATGAAAAATTACAGTGTTTGCCATTTGCTTTCATTTCTTGTTGTAACATAACAACTGCGCAGAAAAACTATCTGTGAAATGGAAGATTAACCAAAATTAAATTTCTGAAGTCTGAACAAAGCCTTAGACTCTGTAAACGGCAAAAAGATATTTCAATGCTGAAAAATAGCCAATTGGTACAACAGATGGGAGAAAAGATCTGTTGCTACTTCCTTTTTATTTTGACTTTAAAGCAAAAAGGGCTAAAATTCATAGAATTTTTTCCATTCAATTTTTTAAGTTTGAGAAGAAGAGAGCTAAACTGACCAAAGATATACAATTTGGTGCATTTGCTGATATTTCTATAACCAAAAAATAAGATTATTCTGACAGCTTGTAATGTAAATCAATGTCATGCATATAAATATCAGTTGTCACTCTATATCTGCCAATAATGTCTTATCACGATGATATTTAAATGCTTAGTTTTATTATCAAAGCTCTGTAGTTTTTATTGTGAAGGTCAAAACATACAATACAATGAAGACTGAGATGAACAAATAAACTTTAATCAAATGTCTGATATATAATACTTAATTCTTAAATTTGACCGTGATTTTTCTAAAAAAAAAACTGATGTATATATAGTGTTCGTGTTGAATATTACTAACAGCAAAAACACATGTACTATGACTTGAAAGTGAACATTTTTATAATTATACTAAAAGGCCTTTTACTTGCTAAAAAAAAAACAGTGAACCATATAAAAAATATTTTGGGGTTATTGAATTCTTAGATCATTTATGTGAAACATGGCAGGAGATCCAAATATCTTGTTGTATCCTACCATTAACATTAACAATCATTATATTAGGCTTTACATTATAATAATGCCCTAAGCATGCATTTAGCTCTTGAGCTTGAATACTGAAATTGCATTGTGTGGGCTTTTATAATGTCACTGCGCTTCTTGGCTGGTAGCTTATAATGTTCAATTTGCCCTGAGAGCTCATGGGCTGATATTTATGCCATGTGGGGCGACTCAGTTCTTTCAGATAGAGTCTATCCTGAGAGAGGCGGCGCTGAGGTCAAGATGTGTGATTTCATATTTGTACAAATTCAAAACTTCTGTCAAGATGAATATCTTTTTCACATTCTCCCATCTCTATAACAGACACACACACACATACACATACACACACAAACACACCGCCACCACAGATGCAGACAGACTTACACATTTCCATCATCGTAAAACAGGGATTATGGGAGAATGTCCTATATTTTTAGAGATCATGGGAGCGCTTAAGCGGGGGATCACAAA